TGAAATACTTAGGAATCCATCTAACAAAAGAAGTCAAAGATCTCTTCAATGAAAACTACAGTACTCTGAGAAAAGATATTGGGTGTTATTTAGAATTTTCATAGCTTCTGGATTTAGTTTTGGCAACTGGATTTTGTCTAAGAGTTTGTCCATTTCTTCTGTGTTTTCCATCTTACTAGAATATAAGTTCTTATAGTAGGTATTGATGATCTTCTGAATTTCTTCAAGATCTATTTTCTATTGAGATTTTCTCCTTTGATTCCTAATTGCTTGAATTTCTGCTTTTTCCTTCTTCTTTTTGATGAGGTTGGCTAATGGTTTATCAATTTTATTACTTCTTTCAAAGAACCAACTTTTCAGTGCATTGATTCTTTGTACTGTTTTCTTAGTCTCAGTTGCATTGATTTCTGCTCTTCTCTTTATAATTTCCTCCCTCATCTGAGCTTTGGGTTTGATTTATTCTTCTTTTTCTAGAAGTTTGAGGTTCAATGTTAGGTTGTTTATTTGTGCTCATTCTGTTTTACTGATGTGAGATAGATAGTAGAATAGGGGTTATGAGTGTCTGGGGCCAAGGGGTAATGCGGAGGTGTTATTTAATGGACACAGGGTTTTCGTGTGTGCAGAAGAAACTGTAGAGGTAGATGATAGTGATGCTGGACAGCCGTGTAAGTGCTCTTCTTGACACACAGTTGCACAATTAGAAATTGTTCATACAGTAAATTCTGTTGTCACATTTTAAAAGTTGCAATTAACTAGTCACCTAGCTGTAGATGTTTTCATCTTACTGCGGCACATGTTGGATGATTAGAAAAGACAGAGATGGTGGCTTACTGTGGAGGGGGTATCACCCGTGTGATTTCTGACAGTGAAGTCACCCAGGGCTTGATGGGCTCCAGTTGCTACCTAGAACTTTCCCCTGCTTCTCAGGATCCACCGGATTGTTACTGCTTTAACTTGGAAAGCAGACCAATTTTAGTATATGTGCTGCCAAAGCAAGCATAGACCAGACCAATTTTAAATACACGTGATAGAGAAGGGCAGGTTGGATGATCTTAGATGATCCAAATTATCATTCTAATGAATGTCCTTGTTTCCTGTCCTGCTCTTATACTCTTGATATGGGGCTCAACTTCTTCCCAAACATTTCTCCCTCCAGAGTCTTAAGGAAATTTTTGCACGAATTTTCTGCTATGATTTCTGTCGTTATTGCTCATTGTATCACGTAGGTCTACCCTTTGGGGGCTAGGGAAGAAGATTCAAGGCAACTTTTGATACTTCTTGCAGGATACTTCTAGCTTATGTTTTCTATTGTAAGAAAGTTGTGGTACTTTTTTCTTATATTTTCTGTGTTGTCAAAGAACTGTATATAGAATTCACTGAAAATACTTTAAAATTCTCCTCTTTTGTGCTCTGAGGATCTCATTTTCCCATGGGTTTTCTAACTATACTATTTCTCAAGTATTTTTCCTTCTTTGTTCCAGGACAACTTTTTCCTTCTGCTGTTAAGATATCGTATCTAGGATTTATTCATCATTCAATCTCTTTTTCAGGTCACTGATTTCTGCTTTCATCTTTATCAATGCAAAAACAGTCCTTTCCTAGTTTGAAGTACACTTTTCAAATTTCCTTAAATTCTGTTCTGATATGAAATTATAATCTCACCCTATTTTTGGCCTGTCTTTTCCTGATTTTCATTTTTGTTTTCCATTTACATATCTTGAGCTTTTCATTTTCTCTGTATCTATAGTACAGTGGATTGGACAACTGTCTTATTCTTTAATCCATAAATAAGACCAATGCTATCAGATTCTTTCTTCTACTCATAAGCTTCAAATGGAGTTGTTCCAGGCATTTTTGGGAGAGAAATGTGAGCAGAGCTGGTGAGATTAGGAGACACTGTAAGAAGTTTTCATTTAAGACAATTTCAGCCTACTTCCCAGGGAAGTATTTCCCTTGTTGGAGGCAAATAATTACTGCCTTTGGGACAAAGCGATTGCCTATGTGGGAGACTAGACTCAGTCAGAGTAATACCACATGGCTCTCATGTCTTCTATTTGATGATTTTGTATTTATATCTATCTTCTTCCCATTAAAAACATGGGTGGTCTTTCCCATACCCTTTCCAGACACCATTCCTTATGGCAGTTTAGGATTTTAGGCCAGAATTATTGAAAATACACTTTCAAGCCTTCTTTCTTCCAGAACCCCTGTTGCTATAAATATCTAGAGGCTCACAGTGGAGATGCTGTCAACCTCTGTGGTCTGCTTATATCACAGAATACATATATGTAAGTTACTTTTCTCATTGCTGAGACAAAATACCTGACACCCAAAGTTAAAGGAAGAAAAGTTTATTTTGGCTCACAGTTCATAGAGGTTTCAGTTCAGAATTGGCTGGCTCCAAGGCAGGATGGTGTGGCAGAGGAGCATTTCAAAGAAGAAACAGTTTGTGGTGGGCAAAAGGCAGCAAAGCAATGAAGTAACAAGCAGAAAGTTGCAAAGGGCAATAGCAACCCTCTTTCTGGCCCTTATAATCTACCCAGGCTACCCACCCTTAGCATGCACACCAGGGTGGGGCCCCCTTAATCCTAGCATCGCACTGTGAATCAATCCCAGCATCACATATTTAATCCCAGCATTACATATTCTAGATCCTGCCATCTCTGAAAGACTCCACCTACAGCAACATGAGTCTTTAAGGGGAAATCTACATACAAGCCAGAACAGCATATGTCAAACTAAGAGAATCCTTTGGACCATTCACAGTATTCTCAAAAATGCACAACTACACTTTTACACAAGGTATATATATATATATATATTCACTTGTATTCTCTCTTAATATATTAATAAATTAATCAGTGGTGGCAATTATTTCTTACTGCCTGTTGAGAGTTGTAGCTTTTAAAACCTTCCTTAGGGAATTTTTAAATTAAAAATGTATTTTGTTGTTGTAGTGGATTTCATGAACACGTCCAATAAGGAAAGTAACAGTCTGGTGTTTCGTCTCAGCAGCAGTCATTCCTATCATCACTGAAGCAAATTCCTCCCATTCCTTAAAAATATCTCTACAGCGCCCCTCATATTCCAGGTCTAGCCTCAGCTCTCACTGTCCTACACTTGCAGACTTCTTGAAAATGCTGCTGTGTTTCATCTTCCAAGTGAAAGCATAACCCAAATGTATTGATCTTCTCTCATCAAAATCAGTAGGAGAAACTCACATTTGCTGAGTTTTGGGCATTTGTGAGTGTATATTGTGAAGAACTTTATACCATTTTTGATATTTGTTTGTAGTTTTGAAACTTTCAATTGTGGCTTCCATAAATTTGCATTCTTTGTTGTGTCATATACCTCTATGATTGTTCCTTCTCAGGTATAATAGTATATACCTCACCCTCATTCTTAAATGGGCTGAGGCACAAAGTTATATCTGTGATGCAGCATTTAAATCTTGACATCCTGAAAGGAATGCCACACTTTTAGAGTATGAGAGCTTGACGATCCACCAATTAATTGTATGCTTTACACCGAATCTCTTCCCTACTCTGTGCTAATTTTTTTCAAAATGCAGGAAACTGCATTATAAGTGATTATGAATATTTCTTGGGGCTTGTGGTAGTAGAGTTAGGTCTCCAACATCATATCCCTGTATAAAATTCCAGAGAGATTGATGATACCCCCTACTGAGCAAAGGGAAAGAAGTCTGCATTTACAGATAAAGTGGAAAGACCAATGCCTTTTATAACATCAGCCACACCCATGACACACCCAGTCAAGGAAGATATAAATGAGAAGCTCAACTCAGCACTCAGTCAAGTCCCTTCCTGGCAAGATGAAGTCCACCGTCTTCTTCATCCTTTCTCTGCTCCTCATTTTGGAGAACCGAGCAGCTGAGGGGAGACTGCGTGGTGAGTGGCGGGGTCTGCTTGGGTGATGGATGTCCTGTAAGGGCATTCTGGGTATGAGTAGAGGGCTGTTCAGGTAGAGCTTGTCCTTGACAGCAGTGAGCCTTCTCTACCCAAAACCGTAGTTGTGGGACCCTCAGGGAGCTCAGGAGGAAAAGGTAAAAAGTAAGAGCTTAAATGAAATTTTGTTGACAATGAAGCCTAAATTATCAGTTACCTTATTACCTTATTATCAGCTACCAGGGGAGGAGCAAGGCCTGTTACCTAATGGATCATGCTAATTTCCAAAGAGACAAGAATCCAAACACTATTCAGGACAAAAAAGCAAACAGGAAGCTAGATCCCAAAGCAGTTTTATACCTAAATGAAACAGCAAGTAGATTACCATATCATGACTAAAAGTGAATTTATAGTCAGTATTGCCAACACGCAGAACATGTAGTGAGAATATCTGACCAACATCCAGGTAGAAGACACAAAACATTCACTCATGCACATCAAAGAAGACATAAAAGGCAATTGTTTTCTTGTAATTTACAGAGTGTAGATGACAGTGATTATAATTGGGTAGAAGATGCTGCTCTAGATCAAGAGTATAGCTAAAATGTAAATATACTGCCAGGTAAGTATCTAAGTACAGAACAAGGGCCACTCTGTTGTAAATACGGTAAAGCACAAGGTGGATCTCAAGGCATTTTTCCTTTTCAAACAGCCAGTGTGACGAGGATAACAATCACATTCTAAATTCTATTTATATCAATAGCAAGTCCAAAGGGTAATTACAATGCCAGGGCACTGGTGAAGTAGGCAAACACCTCTGTGTTGTGGACAGGAAGGTAGGTCACAAAATGGACCCCAAGAGTGTTTTCCTATCCAAATTTAACAGGGAGTACATGGGAAGGATCAAAACCAGACACAAAATTCTAATTGTGAACAAAGGGCATGGCGACAATGCAAATGGAATGTAAAACCGATATCCAAGTACAGAATGAAATTCACTCAATCCTGGACAAAAGGAAGGACAGAAAGGTGGATCCTAGGAAGCTTTCCTTTCCAAACAAAACAGGTGGTACATGACAAGGATAAAAGATAGGAATAAACAGGTAAGGAGAATTTAAAGAAGACAGAGTAGCACTTTTCTGTGTGAAGATGAATTCTTGGGAATGAAATTTGATAAAATCAAATGAGTTAAGTTAGTCTTGAGCATTGGTGCATATCTGTAGTCCCAACATGTACCTGGGAGGATGAGAGAAAAGATCACAAATCTGAGTCACACCTGGGCAGTTTAGCAAGCTCCTTCCTCAAACTAGAAAATGAAAAGGCTTGAGCATGTAACTTAGTGGTAAATGACCTCTGGATTTAATTCTCAGTACTTTAAAAAGAAAAGGTTATTTTATTTTTTTCTTCATTCTAAATACTCTTTTTTGTACTTTTATTTTTTTTTTTGAAGTGGTGTCAAACTCAGGGCCTTGGTGGGCATGTGGTCTCAGTCCAGTGAGAAAAGGCAATGGGGTTTCAACAGAGGCTTTTATTTTCCAATAATAAGACTTCTTTTTCCCTTGCTTCACCCCAATCTCTACTCAGTGACTCCAAGGCCTCAGGTTCTGTTTGTCCCTGACTACAATTTGATTCAGGGTAGTGATTTCTATTACTCTGAACTATTGGCAGCATAGACAGTGTCTTAGTTACTTTTCTCATTGCTGAGACAAAATAGCCAACACCTAAAATTAAAGGAGGAAAGGTTTATGGCAGCTCGTCGTTTGTAGTGCTTTCAGTCCATAGTCGGCTGGCTCCAAGGCAGGACAGCACAGCACAGGAGTATCATGGAAGAGAAACAAGCTATGGAGGGCAGAAAGCAGCAAAACAGAAAAGTAGTGAAATAGCAGCAAATGATAACCACAGCATCTCTCTTTCTGTCCTTATATTTTATCCTATGACTGTGTGAGACTTTGGGGGATATCTAGGCACAAGCTATAACATTCCACCCTGGATCTCCAAAGGGATATCCATCCCTTTATGCAAAAAGCATTTGGTCTACCTCCAAGAGTTGCTAAACTCCTAAAAGTTTCAGCATTTCAGAAAAGTCCAAGCCTAAAGTCTCCCCTGAGATTTAAGGCAAATTTTTATCTTTTCCTTTTTTTTTGACTATTTAGTTATGAAATTGTTTTTTTCTCCAAATATTTTTAAGCTCTTCCCCCAAGCTAGTTCCAAAGGCTCTTGAGCCACATGACAAGGCAATGTCACAGCAATAACCCTAGTCTTGGTATCAAATTCTGACTTACTTTTATCTTGTTGCTGAGACAAAATACCCTACACCCAAAGTCAAAGGAGGAAACGCTTATTGTAGTTCACAGTGTGTAGAGCTTTCAGTCCATAGCTGGCTGGCTCCAAGGCAAGACAGTATGGCAGAGAAGTATCACAGAGGAGAAATAAGGTAGGGTGGGCAGAAGGCAGCAAAATAGCAAAGTAGCGAAGCAGCAGCAAGTGATGATCACAGCATCTCTTTTTTCTGTCCTTTACATTTGATCCAGACTACATCTCACACCTAGGCTGGGGCACCCTTAATCCTACCTGGAGCTATGCCAAACCAGTCAGTGTACTAACTTAGTAATCGTATACTCTTGATCCCAGAATCACACACTCTAGATCCAGCTACCTCTGGAAAGCCCAACCTATGACCACATGAGGCTTTGAAGGGACATCTAGACACAAGCCATAACAGACAGGAGAAATGCTTGATTAGCTTAGACAAAAGGTCAGTTTATTAGCTTATAACTGAATGGTAGGAAAGGCATGTAGGAATAGCTATTCCAAACATTAAGGAGCAGGAAGCACTAGCTGGTGGCTTCAGAGTCTTCCTTCCTTTGCCATCTTCTGTCTGCTTCTCTTAGTGTCTTATACTCATTTTTCTCAGATACTTCATACTTTTCAGTCAAATCATAGCTTCTGGAATCCCCAGTTCATATACAACCACCTTTAGCCAAAGGAGGGACTTCCTTCTTCCCTGTGTGGCCCAGTAAAACAGAAGGCTTCAGGAGTCCTGGCCAGACACACACACACACACACACACACACACACACACACACACACCCCTTTCTATGAACAGGCTTTCATAATTAATAGTTCCCATTACACTCATAATTTGATAATAGAAGAAAACAACAGTTTTTCTGAAGAAGCAAGTTGTTGTTGTTTAAAGGAATAAGGCATATACACTACAGATATTCATCTTGTAGATAATTTATGTTTTCTATTTTGAAATATCAGAGTCTTTTCTCTGTCCATCTACCATGACTTCAGAGATATCATGTTATTTCAAACCTAGAGTTCTTCTTCCAATTAGTCTCAATGCTCACTCACAAAAATGGCAAAGTAGAATAATCAAGCTACACTTTCTAGGCAAATTGGCTTTGCAGAATTTGTCTCAGGAACACGGAAGAATGAAAGCAAAGTCTAATTTGATGCTGAAAGTAGTAAAATAATAGGGTCCTTCTGGGAAGGATTTATAGGATCATAGTGTAATGGAAATAGCATCCTAGGTATGAAATCAAGACTGGATGTGCCAGTAACTTGCTGAATTATCTTAGTAATTCCTTTATCCTTACTGGGTCTCTCTCAGAATATAAAGAATGTAGTTGCATTGGTCAGGGAAAAGTAGGACAGCTTTTGAGGCTGTCAGACTATCATAACATAATATGACTCTTTTTCCTGTAAAAAAAAAAAAAATCCTTGAGAAGGCGCCAGGATTCCTCCCAGTAGGACAGTGACTATTTCCTGGGATAACCAAGGAAATGTTTTAACCCTTGTAGGAGATTTGTGCCTGGTTCCAGGTCAAGCTTGGGCTGCATAAGGCTGGATTTGTCCTCACATCTTAGCCAAATGCCTTCCTGAGGACCATACTCTTCCTGGTGGTGACTATGGACCTCCTCCTTGAGATGCTGGCAACAGAGGCAATTGCATAGGAACTGCGTGGATGGAAGACCTGAAGGGGCTGAGGTGGGATAGAGAGATGCTCTTAAGGGCCTCCAGGCCCTGACAGAAGAGCAGGAGGCAAGGATGGAGCCCACACTTCAGCCTTGTGGCCATTTCCTTCATGTAGAATAAGTAGGAAGCTAAGCAGCAGACTCCCTATCACTTTCCAAACAAGTGACTGAGATCTGAGAACTGTTCCTAGAAGTCATATTGTTGCGTGGACTTGACATCAGGGATCATTATCAGTGATGAACATGCAACAGAGTGATGAGCCCCAGGACTCATTATGGGCACTGGGTACAGAATTTGGGCCTTGGGTGTGGATTCTGTCCCCAGCCTGTCTGCCCCATAAAAGTACCTGCATAATTTGTCCTCTAAAAGGAGATTAAGAAACAACAGGGCTCAGAAGTCATGAGCATTGAGGATCCCCAGTTCATAAGAAGAAAACCAAGATGGAGAGAAAAGTGGAAATTTGTCAAAGAATTTTCAGAGCTAATATACAGCTCAAATATCATAGCATGCGTCTTCTGGCCCTTTCTTCCTCCTCTAAGCTTCCTAAGAAATGACAAAATGTCCTTCTTATTTGAGAGTCTTAGCCCAGATTGAAGCAGCTCCTGAGAGGCAGGAAATGAAAGGCAAAGGAAGAAACACACTCTAGGGAATGGTGTTCCTATAGCCCCTGTCCACAAAGAGAACAACCATTCAGGAGCACAGACCCGACCTATCCCTGGAACACCTCTTCCACTTCTGGGCATTGTGTAGAGCACACTGAAGGGAGAAGTGACTGGGCCTACAGGTAAGACACGGTAGTGAAAGAAACACAGTGAGTCTAAATGTGGGTATGTTTCTTCTTTAACAGGTTCTGCTGGAGCACAAGACCCTCTGATTAGTCGTGTTTGGGCCAAATCACAGGATATGGAAGAATCAGTTTCAGGTCCAGGTCTAACTGCTGAGGGAGGTCACATTTCAGACAAAGGAGAAGCATCCATGGGAGAACATATTTCACTTAGACACGAAGAATTTGAGAAAGGACACATTCGGCACAATGTAGAAGAACCTGAGGGAGAACGTGTTTCAGTTAGACACGAACATCTGGAGAAAAGTCACGTTCGGCACAATGTAGAAGAGCCCGAGGGAGAACGCGTTTCAGTCAGACACGAACATCTGGAGAAAAG